AAAAAAAATATTCGTTCATCTTTTAATTTAATCAAAATTATTAACATTAAACTTTAGTTATTTTTAACTTATAAATTTATTTTATTTTTATAATTACAAAAATAAAAATAATTACTGCTACTAACAAAACATGACATTTGTTGCTGAAAAATAACCAAAAACACTTAACCATTTCAATCCCTTAATTTTAAACTGGTGAAACTCGTTTTCAATTTCATATTAAGTTAAAATTTCAATTTAATTCTTCTATACAAAATTTTTTTTAATCCATTTGTTTAATTTTTTTTAATCTCTAAAATTTAAAATGACCCTTTTGTCTATTATTATCCTTAAGGGATAGAGTCTGCGGGTGAAGGGATAATTATTTTGGATATTATGTATGTCAAAAACAAAGTCAATTTAATTGGCCATTGTTCTAGTTCTCCAGTGTTTGAGTTGTTTTGTGAGGGATTGAGTAATCAGAGCTTTTTCATTTACATATTTGTATGTGGTATGGAAAGTGGACAAATTCTAGTCTATAGACGAAACTCTTTGCCAAAGATATAATTGTATACATTGTCTAATTTATTTTATAATTTATTTATTAACTTTCTACATAAAGCTTTTATGTAAGTCTATCTGTTTGGTGTAAAAAATCAACTTTACAGCTTTTATGTAAAAAATTAATTTGTGTCAATCTTACAGTTTTCCTTCGTATCTGTTTTGTTAAGATTGCAGTAGAAATCTTCTTGTTTATTTTCTTCTAGTGTCAGACTACTTTTACTTATTAGTGTTAAAAGTCATACAAAAGTCAACATTTTGTAAATTGCCACCTTTTCTCATTTACGTAATCAATCATCTTTGTAAGAAATTGCTTGGTCAAAATTGGTTACTACTTGGTCAACATTTGCTAACTATTTTGTCATTTTGTTAATATTTGTCTTTCTTTAGTGTTGTTATCCTCTACTTATCTGTTTTGTCTATCTATGTTATCTTTCGTCAAACTAAAAACTGTTGATATTATTATTTGTTGATATTATTATTTTATCTTTATGAGTTTAGATTATTTAGACCTAAGTATTTTACATCTTTATAAAAAACCAAAAGCAATTTTAGATAATCATAATATAGTGTGTAATTTTTCAGGTTTTAGTCATAATTTACATTCTGATAATAGCTAGTTAAATAGCAACGTAGACCTAATTATAAATTTTTCAAAAAATTATAAAAAAACAAAAAGAAAAGGAGAAAGTAGTGCTCGAAAGGTTCCAAAACTTTGAAAAGCATTACAACAAAAATATTGTGAAACTAATTGAGAATCAAGACTACTTGCAACAACAAATTGAATTTGTCAAAAACAAAGTCAATTTAATTAATTCTCAATTTCTAAGCAACAAAGGGCCAGATCAATTTGTTCAAAACCTCTGTCATCAAACAGCCACCTTGATCCAAAATCAAGAAGAGTTGTTTAAACAGGTCCAAAAACTTCAAAAATTAATTCTTGGATTGAATGGGTGAAACTTTTTTCACTCAAAATTCAAACTATAGAGAAGCTTTAAAAGAAGCAGGAAAATTGGGAAATCCCTACGGATTAACCAATTTCCAACCCTTAGCAGTCCAAGATCAGGTATTAGTAGGACAGTAGAATACCCAAATTATTTTGCTATTACGAATCCTTGAAAACCAAGAAGAAATCTTAAGTGAAATAAGGAATATAAAAGATCTTTTAAAAGACACTCACTTAAGAACTGCAAAAATAGGTCAAGAGACTAAGACAGGATTTTCTTCAGGAAGCAAGTGAAATAATAGATTTAGAAAGAATCATTAGCTTAAAAGAGGATCTTAAACAAATAAAATCTAGTCTTTCGTCTTTATCCCACATAAAGGCTAAAGAACTAAAAGTCTCAAGAAATTACGTTGTGTTAGCTTAAAATCCAAAAATCATGGAATCATCTAAAATCATAGGCAACCCTCTTATTAGGATGTTCTCCAAAGGAAAACAAATTCAAGAATCTATAAAAGTCGAAACTTTAATAGACCTTGAAGAACAAATAAAAAGATTCAAAACTCATAAATTTGACTTGGTCAAACCCAAGTATCTTTATGAAAATGCCAATTCTCTGTTTAGTGTTGGATCAATCTTTCAGCATTATCAGGAAGTTCAAATATCCTGTGTCAAAGATAGTGATAG